ACAAATAAGAGAAATAATGTTTCCAGATGATAAATGATCAAATCCTTGCAAAAACCTTCAAAAGCCTCTCACCAAGAATGCTCTGATATCATGTGTCCCCCCCCCCCCCCAAAAAAAAATGACCCAATTCCCGTCATATGAAAAATAGGAAAAACTGCCAAAAATTGGTTTTAGGGTCGAACACAGCCCGTGTCAAAATAGAGCAAATCAACACGGGTCGTGTTGAGTGAGAAATGGCCTTCAATCCTCGATTTTCATTCCAAAGTACAATGTTGAATGTTGCTAAGTTGGGCCAACACGACCCGTGTCAAAATGGGCTAAACTGACACGGGTCGTGTTCAGTGTACTCAACAACTCCTTTTAAGGTCAAACACGACCCGTGTTCCTTTTACAGTGTAAATCCAACACGACCCGTGTACCCCTCTGACTCCGAATCCAAACTTGATTTTTTCCAACTTTTTCATTCTTCGCCCGATCATCCCGAAATCTTCACCAATGCTTCCCGGAACCTCCCAAAGCGCGTTCCAACCTCCGGTTTACCTGAAAAGATCATGAAAGTGTGCAAATAAGGTTGTTATAGAAACTAACATGAATATGATGAAATGCAAGAAAAATGAAGAACAATTATGCTAAATAGATGCATAAAAGGGGACTAAAAGGAGTGCAAAAAGGTGCACAAAATGCACCTAACAATAAGTGTTTTATTTATATTCAAAAGTTTTGAGACCATATTGGGTTAGGTTATTCTTGTGTTTCACTTCGCATGTTTTACTTCCCGAATAATAAGATTATTCAAACATCCACAATCAATCATACTTTTGGAAGTAAGTAGTGAACTAAGACTGTCATGAATCCGACTATAGATTGGATAAGTGCTTAGACATAGCAAATGTTTGTTGCAGTGTTCATGAGTAATCCTGAAATAAGAATTTGAGTATTGGATAAACCCACGCTCAAGAATTACTTCATGGATTTTATCACAAGTAATTTTGAGACGATAATATCTTATATTCTTGAAATGGAGACATATGAGTCGTTGTCTACGAGTCAGTTGTGCATTGATAATACGTAAACGCATCAGTAACTTGATGTTATAAAACGTATTGTTGTGTGTGATTTGATGAGTAAATAGTACAAGCATATGAGTTAAATTTTATCCGTTCATTTTACCTTAAATGGGATAAAAGTGATATATGAGTAGACCTGGCAATTTCATACACGACACGATTAACACGACACGAACACGATACGAGTTTTCCGTGTATGTGTTTTATAAATTCGTGTTTCGTGTTTATTTATGTCTGACACGTATTTTAAATTCGTGTTTCGTGTCTTACACGTGTCAAACACGAATTTACCTGTTTAGACACGTATAAGACACGATACAAATTCGTGTTGACACGTGTAAGACACGAAACACGAATTTTGTATTTATAATATATTATGGACCAATTTTGTAAAAGTCAATGACTAGTTTATAGCCATAGCTTAAAAAAGCCATTAAAAACGTGTCTATTCGTGTTTTCGTGTAACACAGCTAAAAAACGTGTCTATTCGTGTCGTGTCATGTGTCACACGATTTTTTACGTGTTGTGTTCGTGTTTGATACCCGAAACACTTTTTATAATTCATGTTGTGTTCGTGTTTAGCAAATTCGTGTCGTGTAAATTCGTGTCTGACACGAATACACGACACGCAGACACGGATTGTCAGGTCTATATCTGAGGGCCCCTCGATGATTTAGTGATAACACCCTAAGCGCTTGGCCAAGCCTAGACTGATTTGATTTGTTCAATTAGTCAGTCGTCATAAATCGGAAATCGGGAAACAACTCTTGGACAGAGATTGATTATAATACATGTCTCGTTTCCATACTATATCTTGTAGAATGGAGGAATATTGGATCCCTTATCTAAGGACACGTCGATGATAAGATCAAAGTTCGACAGCGGCTTTTGGGAGCTACGATTGCTAGTCAAATTTTGAAGTCATGCTTGCAATAATAGTTATTAGACTTATCCAAGTGGGAGACTGTTGGATTAGGTGTCTAAGCACATAACTATAATTGGTATGTACTTGATTTGATAGTAGCATGGTCCTTTTGGGTTGCCTTCACACTGGCAACTAGACAGGATGACTATTGGAGAGAGAGACTGATTTTATTATTAAGAATAATAAATTGGTGCATAAATATGATTTATTAATTTATTTTAAGAATAATATATTAATTAGAAATCACATTATTAATAAATGTTTAATCAGAAATTAATTTGGAATTAATTTTGGGATTAAAGGAATAGACAGAAAGTGTAGGGGTTGTTTTGTAAATATTTGATAGTTTAGGTTTTGGGCCATTGGATCATCCTTGTTAGGGAGGGCCGAAAATCCCTAGAATGATCTAAAGATTTTCGTCCAAGCCCTAAGGAAGGGGTCCATGGACTTGCTTAGGCCCTAAGCTAAGGAATTAGGGTTTCCACCTTAAATCCCTAGCTAGCCTCAAGTATAAATAAAGCCCTTGGCTCTTGAATTTGACCACCCCCTTGGGAAAACCCTAGAAGAGTCGATTTTTGGAGCTAGTCACTCTCTATCCTCTCTCTCATAATCATCATCTTGCCCTAGTGTGTTTGTGAGCCATTAGAGGTACTACACTTGTGGTACTTGTTCTCAAGAGCAAAGGATCTTCAAGAATTGGTTGTTATTACTATATAGCAACAAATGTATGAGATCTAATCTTTGTTGATTTCGATTATTAGATGCATATTAGGGTTTTCTATTTGTGTTCAATAGTTGTATGTCTAATAGAGAAAACATAGATCCAAACTAGGGTTGCATGCACACTTAGGATTGTTTGTATAAAACCCATCACCTTTAACAAACATTCATTGCTCCTTGTTCACCACTTCTCCTACGTGCATCCCATTAGGGGGGGGGGGGGGGAGGGAGTCATTCCCTCTCAACCCACCGCCACGTCAGTTTTTTCATCTTCTCTCTTTTTCATCTTTTTCAACCCGCAACATATGGAAACCCTATCTTTTCCAATCCACTTGCCACATCTTTATTTTTTATTTAATTATGTTAAAAAATAAAATAAAACTTAACATTTTTTCTAAAATCATATTAAAAATATCAGTTAATTAAAATAAATATTACTTAATGAATTATAAAACAAATATAAATTATTTAAAATATTTGAAGTGTAACTATTTTAATAAAATCTATAAACTATAGGGACTAAAATGAAATTTATATATGAACTATATAATGCTTTACCCTAAACCTATTTCGTGAAATATGCCGCATCCATCTATCTTCTCTCCGTAACCATCTCTACCCACTATAACTCTCTTTTTGCTTTCCCCATCATAAAAAAAACAAAGAATTTTGTCAAAGAAGAATAGAAAGAGAGAAAGGAAACGGCTTCACCAACCCGTTGAAAGCCCGGTTTCTTCCAACCCGTTGTTCCCACCGGCCGACGGTACCACATCTCGGTGGTACCGCCGGTACCCACCACCCAAACCGCCACGACTTCTTCCTCCCTTAGACTAATATCTCGAGAGTCTCACATATATATTGTCCAAAACCTTTAGGGTCAAGGTTATACACGAGAGTTACTACCACTAAGGAAGGAGGGATTCATTCCCTCCCAACCCACTAAACCCACTGACACGTCACTTTTTCTCTTTTATTTTTCTTTATCTTTCCCAACCCATAACACACGAAAATCCTATCTTTCTCAACTCACTCAATTAAAAAAAATACAAAACAACTAAGGTACAAGTTTTAAAACATATGGTACAAGAGAAAATGAGAGAGAGAAAGTAGAGAGAGATGATGAAGTGGGTTAGTGAAACCAATTAAACAACCCGTTGAAGTGGGGATTGGTACCGTCGGTAACTCTATTGCTAATTAAGATTTTACCTTGATTGTTTTGTATTTTTTTTAATTGAATGGGTTGAGTGGGTTCAAAAAGATAGGGTTTCCGTGTGTTGTGGGTTGGGAAAGATAATGAAAAATAAAAGAGAAAAAGTGATGCGGCAGTGGGTTCAGTGGATTGGGAGGGAATGACTCCCTCCTCCCTAAGAAAAGTAGCAGTTATCTAAAATTCTTTAAACAAAATCATAAAACACATTCACTAGATAAGTTATTACACAAAAAATAAGCTACATTCACTCAAGTATTTGTTACACAAACGTAAATAGCATACATATATTCCATATGCATATAAGAACTCATGTGATTCAACCCAATGATATATATATATATATATATATATATATATATATATATATATATATATATATATATATGGTGCTTTTTCTTTCATAAAATATGTGAGTAAATTATAAATTTTATATATATCCTATATAATATATATTCTGAATATGGTTAAAAAACCAAGTGCACCACACCCAATTGGTCTTTGATATCACCATACAAAGGATAACATTCTTAAATATTGTTTAACTTGAAGCTTTCTCCTAGACTCTTACCGGATGTCCTCCATACGTTCGGGTCCATTTTTCAAGATGCTTAATTGAATGACTTGTTCCACTGCAAATGAAAATGGATAGCGTCTAGGTACATGCATACATGCATGTGTAATTTCTTATTGCATTATTCTGATCTAATTTTACTAAGCTGTTTTGTTTATTATTATTAGGGTAAATTACATAAACGTGATTGTCTTTTTATAAAAATTTGATATAAACACTAGGTTATTTTTTGTTAAAATATAGTGATAATTTTTTAGTTTTTGTAATTTCAACCATTTGACCGGTCTATCCAGTTACCCGCATGACATATTATTTAGTTACCCGCTAACATGACATGTTGGCACTTAGCCATTTATGTCATTTGTATATGTTGTTGAAAAAGTCAATCATAAATCATTTATGTCATTTGTAATAATTTAAAACTGCCAACACCTAATACAGCTACACTAGAAGCTTTTTGATCACAAATAATCAATTAAATACATAAAGTAGATAAACTTAAGAAAGATGTTCTTGAATCATGATACAACAATCTATATGACAACATCAATTACATTACAAACTCCAATAAAAGAACCTTGTTATTTTTTGCATTTAAGATCAAATACGAAAAGCATCCGTTTGGAATCTTTCATCATACAAACTCCAATGACCATATCTTTCACCCTGAAAAGCTGACCTTGGAATATAGAAATTAGGCTTCTTAACAGTCTTCAATTTGGTCAAATTCGAAGTAGAATTTGCAATATCTCGGCTAGTTACATTGACACATCCTGATAGATCAATATACTCAAGGTTTTGACACCCTTTAGAAATCAAAGCAAGGCCTTTAGCTGTTAGCTTGGAGAATTGAAGTTCAAGGTGAAGTAATTGAGGCATTAGGGTTCCAATTGCAGCAGCTTCTGAATCACCATCTTGAGGGCAGGCGTTTAGATAGTCACTGGGTACGATTCCTAAGTGTCGTGAAGGGTCCAAATCATTCATGAAGTTACGTTTTAGGATTTTGAGATTGGTGCATTTTCTTCCCAGTGTGAGTAGAGATTTGTGAGAGATTTCATAGCAAAAGCTTATGTTGAGTTCTTGAAGTTTTGGGCACTCGGATGCTATTTTTACCATGGATTCATCTGTAACATTTGGGCAGCTCTTGATCGATAGTACTTCAAGGTTAGGGCACCTATTGAACATAAGCAACTGAATAAAACAAATATACATGAAAGATTTTGTTAATACCTAATTGATCGAAGATCGATTTCAGGCATGTTTAGGTTTAGGGCAGATTATGAGGAAAAATTGCTCGACACCTTGACGATGATAAAGATATGAAACAATCACAGGAAAACCCTAGCTTGAACAAATTAAGGAGGAAAGCATGATTGAGAAAGCATGTATGAATACCTTTGAGCAACGAGAGAAAGTGAGCGATCGGAACAGTGTCTAACCCTGATTTTAGTAAGGCCTCCATCGCTCCAATTCACAACAGATCGGAGCATATTATCGATTTTTCTCTCGAATTGAGGAGTCCACCAGCGAAACGATTCACGTGGGCGCGATTCGAAAGATGATTCGAAAGAAGATTCGAGGTCGAAGACGGAGTGAAGAGAAGGATCCTTGGAAGCCTGAAGCCATGACTTGCAGACAAGCATGATGCCTCGCCATCGATCCTCGACAGTGAGGCGGGTAAGGATGTTGAGGAGGCACTCGTGAGTCAAATCGGCCCAGCCGGAGTAGAGTTCTGACTCGTCGGCTTCTTCTTCTCGACGGTGGTTGTTGTCGGCCATTGGAGGTTGATAACTTGATAAACGACAATTCGATGGTTTTTTTTTTTTGTTAATTTTGTAAATCGTGGTTCCAACGAATCCAGACACGTGTCGGTATACAGTTACTTTCGTTTCATTTTTTTTTTCTCTTTTCAAATGGTCAAAAAGTCTCCTTCTTGCACATTAAGATATATTTTAAGTACTTTATTATTATATTGTGGTTCCAAGGACTCGAATGCATAAAAAAACTTTTATATATCAAGGTATATTTTAGGTATTTAGCATTTAAATAAGAAAATTATGTACTCTTTAATTTGTTTTTTTAGTATTTAAATTGGTTGAGATTATATCAAGGTTTTTGACAAATCGTTAATTCACTTTTTTGATGAATGATTACGATTGAAGGTAGTGTTGGTCAACATCTTTGTGGACTGTTTCGGGACTCTTCCTGGGTGATCAAAATTTTCAAGATGATCGGAGGAAAAGTGTAGGCGCAAAAGGACCGATGTCTTTGTTCAGATTAGCCAACGGGAGCATCAAAATGTTATAACTCATCGGATCTTTAGAAGGTGGCTCAACTATTGTATGTTACAAACTTCCCACCATTAATGGGAACTTCATTCGAGATTAGATGTTGTGTTGATGTTTTTATATCGAATAAATGATCAAAGTTTGGAAAAGCTTTTGGTTTAGCTGATGTTTTTGTATCGAACAAATTATCAAAGTTTAGAAAAGTTTTTTGGTTTATTTATATTTGGTAATGCAGACAACTTGGAGGATCTCACGAATAAAATTTGTTCTCTATAGATTGGTAATTACAAAGTATATGTATCAATGTCATGGGTTGAAATGACAAGCATATGGTGAAGAGCTTTGGAAGGTCGGGGATGAAAACGTGTGGATTCCTATTTAATCTGATCTTCTATTATTCAAACGTATATATACATGATTACATCACAATAGGGGCCAAAGGGACAAACATATATCACAATACAACAATATATTATAATAACAATAAACCTACTAACATCGCCCTTGGAACAAGAGGAGGATCTTGAACATTCAAGCTGAATCTGAAATCAAGAAATAACGGAGAAGGGAGACTCTTCGTAAATATGTCAGCAAATTGTGATGAGGAAGGAACATGAAGAACACGAACATGTCCGGTAGCAACCTGGTCTCGAACAAAATGAAAATCAGTCTCTATGTGTTTGGTTCATTAATGTTAAACCAGATTGGAGGACATGTATACAACACTCACATTATCACAATAAACAATAGTAGCTCGATGAGGACAATAATGTAGCTACAGTGAAAGATTATGAATCCAACATGTCTCGACAACGGTATTCGCTACACCCCGATATTTTTCCTCTACACTAGACCTCGATGTTGTATTCTGATGTTTGGAAGACCATGATGTCACACCCCGACCGTCGGTGGAAACACCGGGCGGTGTAACGTCATTTCTTATATCATAGTTATCAACATCCTGAAAACACATGCATTTAAAAATACGTCAACATAAAGTTGGTGATTTCACAGGTTTTGACTCCATATAAAAATAATATATTTTCCAAGTTCAAAAGTTTAGTTTTGAAAGTATCATTTTGATTCTCAAACTATTAATATATATATCCTAGGTATAATGGTTTACTTACCAAATAAGTATATACCTATAAGTCTTATATATTAAAAAAATATAAATGTTTGTAATTCCATACAAACTAAGTTACTACGTATAAATTTATTTCAATTCTATACGAGTAAAATCGTACGTATAAATCTATTTCAATTCTATACGAGTAAGTAGAATAGGTATAGTGGTCTACTTAATATACAAGTAATATATCTGTCCGATTTTTATACTTAGAGTATAAGTCCTTGGGAAACTTATACTTAACATTTATACTTGTATATCGACAAAGTATAATGCTTCTAAAATTTTGTTACCATGAGCCTGTAACCGCTGCTACGACACAATACCTCTGAAACAACACACTCATGATTTCCATGAGAAACAACACACTCATGATTTCCATGAGAACAACATTGTACGCTTCATCGACGCCGGAACAATAACAAGTAAAAGGATAGTTCGTCACTTGCTTATGGTTGACTGTAGCTAACAATCACAAGTGGGGTAGTCAACCCGTATACTAATTATACACGACTTCCTCGCTCACGCGGGATTAACGATTACAGTTCAGAGGATTTCTGCTAAGATCCCCAATCTTAGTTGATGAATACAATTACTCATATAGACTTCGACAGCCTCCTATAGCTCTAACAACAAAAGCATTTTCATGTCTAAAACCCTAAGTTACTAGACTATGCTTTTAAACATTACTCCTAACTTCATATATCATTTAGGCAGTATAACAGCTATAACTTGAAGTAAAACCAGGTTTTATCTTGACATAAAACCAATAACAACAACAACATATAACATATCAAGTTTTATCTTGTCATAAAACTAACAATAACAACATATATCATATTGAGTTTTATCTTGACATAAAACCAATAATAACAACATATTTTATAAATTAACATATAAAACTTCCGAATATAAGTTCAGAACTATATCGCACACAACATATATATAGAATCCTAAGTATAACTCAAGATCCACATTTGTATAATAACATGCTAATAAGTTAATAATAGTTGTATATATTTAAAATATTATATTTAGAACAACTATATCCCGGTTAATATAATTGTCTATGTTGATATTAATACACTATCATATAGACATAATAGTAACGTATATACAATATTTAGCATGCGTTTTCCCCCGAAAATATTAGAAAGTGGGGCCGTGAAACTCACCTTAATATCGCGCTTTGACAAAATCTAATTGAAAACAGTCAGCGGTTCGCGATCGTCGGGCTCGGGAAGCGAAACGGCTCCAGCAAACGAGAGAGAAAGAAGAGATTTTAGGTGTACTAAGCATTGGGGTCGAAATGGCTATTTATAGGCTGATTTTTGGCCCTCACGAAGTGAGAAATGATAGGTTCACGTCGTGAATTATGGTAAGAGTTATCCCATAGCTTTAACGCGTGTTTTCTAGCCCCGATTCGTGTCCTGCAGTGTCCTCACGTCGTGTGAAAACCTTGCTCACGTCGTGAGCTTTTCGGTTATCATTCCGTAGACTTCTAGCTTCAAAATATGGCGGTTTGACTCCTCACGTCGTGAGTTTTTATGCTCACGTCGTGAGTTCAGTCAAATTAGGGTTTCTGACAGCGACATCTTCGGAAGGCCATAACTTTTGCATACGAACTCCATTTTTGACGTTCTTTATATCCACGCGTAGGTATTTACGAGCACTAAAACTCTCTTTTAGACTCCAATAGCTAATTATATTTCTATTTTAAATTCCTCATATTATAGAGATTTGTAGTGTTCGGTTTATCATAACTTCTTCACGCGAAGTCAGATTTAGACGTTCTCTATATTTTTGGAATCGTATGGACGTATACTTTGAGTTGTATCATAAAAGTTCATACTTGTATTAGAATTTATCACGAATTACATAGTAAGTTTGTTACTTTACTAGTTTAACAAAATCACATTACATGATTGGCATAATCACATGTGATTGTTATTGACCTAATTTTGACGGGTGTTACATTCTCCCTCCATTAAAGAAATTTCGTCCCGAAATTGATCTTGTGGACGAGGAACTGTTAATTAGTTGGGGAAAACATTGTGGATATTGCTTAGCTCTTGATGTAACTTAAGTTGATATGCAGCAGAACCAATTCTTGCTAGAATTTCAAAAGGTCCTATATACCTTGGGTTTAGTTTACCTCGTTTCCCGAATCGAATTACGCCTTTCCAAGGAGAGACCTTCAACATTACTTTATCTCCAACTTGGAATTCTAAAGGCTTACGTCTTACGTCAGCATAGCTCTTTTGACGATCACGTGCAGCCTTTAATCGATCCTTAATTTCCACGATCTTTTCAGTTGTCTCGTGGATTATTTCTGGTCCAGTACGTAAGGTATCGCCTGTACGTTCTTTGGCCATCTGCATATCTCCAACTTCTGCCCAACATATTGGGGAACGACATTCTCGTCCATCAAGAGCCTCAAACGGTGCAGCCTTGATGCTGGTGTGATGACTATTGTTGTAGGAAAACTCAATTAACGACAAATGAGTATCCCTCGCATTTCCAAAGTCTATTACACAGGCTCGGAGCATATCTTCTAAAGTCTGAATGGTTCTCTCACTCTGACCAAAAGTCTGTGGATGGTAAGCTGTACTCATATCTAGACGTGTTCCTAAGGATTTTTGTAGAGATTGCCAAAATCGTGAAGTGAATCTACTATCTCGGTCAGAAATAATAGAATTTGGAACTCCATGCGATCTGACAATTTCCTTAAGATAAACTCTAGTCAACTTATCCATCTTTTCGTTCTCCTTAATTGGTAAGAAATGGGCGGACTTAGTCAATCTATCAACTATTACCCAAATAGTGTCGAACCCACTAGGAGTTTTAGGTAACTTAGTGATGAAGTCCATTGATATCTGCTCCCATTTCCATTAAGGTATTTCCGGTTGTTAAAGTAAACCTGAAGGCTTTTGATGTTCTGCATTTACTCTAGAACAAGTCAAGCATTTGCTCATATAAGTAGCAATTTATGCCTTCATGTTTGGCCACCAATAATGTACTTTTAAATCTAAGTACATTTTGTCAGAGCCTGGATGCACAGAATATCTGGACTTGTGGGCTTTTTCTAAGACCAAGTCCCTAACTCCACCGAACTTAAGCGTCCAAATTCGGTTCATAAAGTGTCGCGTTCCGTCATCTTTTTGTATAAGTTGCTTTTCCATTCCTCGCAAAGCTTCGTTCTTGATGTTTTCTTCTTTTAGAGCCTCAAGTTGAGTTTCTCTAATTTGTGCGGTAAAGTTAGAATGGATAGTTATAATTAATGCTCGTACCCGACGGGGTTTAATATATTCTTTCCGGCTCAAGGCATCTGCTACCACCTTTGCCTTTCGGGATGATAACGAATATCACATTCGTAATCATTCAA